AGGTGAAACCCCTTCTATCTAGAGGCTATGTGAAACTTTGATATCATTTTTGCCACATACCCACAAAAAAAGCAAACTTGCATATCTCATGCCCTAGGAATGTTCATATCAGATGATAGATAGATGATAGATAGATGATAGATGATAGATTCTGAAGTTTATTTACAATCCAAGATTGAGCATCAAATATAGCTTAACACATACATACATACATACATACATACATACATACATACATACATATTTAAAAAGTGCCTGAAACAATTCATACTGGGGTTGTAGTGCAGTCAAGATATGTAACAATAATACTCTAACCTGCAAACTGATTAGCTTCTCCTTCAAGGAAGTAAAGTGTTTAAGGGCTAGGAGCCACCAGCCATCATGGATTTATCAGTGGCCATCAAAGGCACCTTCTAGACTTTGTACTGAATATCATCACCTCTTCTGCTGTTGACAAAAGATCATCCACTCACTTTGCAAGATTGAACCATTATTAGGCCATAATCACTCTTAATATATCTTCTCACTTTTTCCAGATTCAAATGCCTGCCCTCCAGCCCTTGGAGTATTTAAGGCCATCCTCAGTCTTAGCTCTTTCAACAGCATTGGTACTCCTGCAGCTTCTTATTCCCGCAGCCACTTCCTGGCAAACTGCGCTGAACTAACTGGTTTCAGTTGAGGAGTCAAAGATCAGGATTAGGGAAAATGTGGTGCCGTTTGATAATTGTTCTTGGGAATGTCAGAGACCAGGCTGTGTCTGTAGAGAGGGTCTTCTTCTGCATTCATTCTCACAGTCTTTGGATGCCACTGTTTTAAGATAGAAAGTGAATATAAAAACATGAGAAAGGGCTGGATCAGGGCAAGGGTGTACCCAACCTAGATCAAAGACCTACTGCTGTTTTGAGCATCTTCCTTGGCACCAAAGTATTGAAAAGCCAAGAAGTATGAACAATGTTAGCATTAAACCCCTTAAGAACTTCCAGTACTGGAAGGCTATAAGGTTTTGTTTCCTTTAGATACAAGAATGTTGGAGGGTTCTAGCAGTTGGATTAGAGAGGCCATTGGAGTTGGGAGGCCAATAAATTTAAATAAATAAAATAAGCAAACAAACTTAGAAAGATCAGCTTCAGGTTTGTCTGTAGGGAGGCAGTCAAAAAAGTCAAGGTGGTGGCCCCAACCATGTGATTTTACATGCATCATGACAGAAGTTTAAAAAGGGTGGGGCTCTGATTGCATCTGGAGTTTTTTTTACCCCCTCCCTGTGGACACCTCTGGGCAGCATAGATGGGTCTACTTGAGGAAAGTGTGAAATTAAGGACATTCGGTCCTGGTTTTGCCTCACAGTATATGAACATGGGGGTCCTTGAAAGGCAAGCAGATAGGAGCTCATTTTATCACATCAGCTTCTCCAGATGTTCCCGTTAATCTTAGAGCAACCTTTTATAGCATGGCTTCTTCCAGAAGTGGAAGAACAACAATGCCCTTGAGGGGAACAATACGTTCCTCATCAAAAGAATACCAAACAGGATGAAGGGTTGAGCAGGGACATCTGTGACAGGGTCAAAAAAGGCAAGATGGTAGCCATGATCATGCAATTGAAGCCCCTCCCCTTTTTTACATATGCATGTGGCACATGTAGAAAAGGAGCAGGGATTTGATTACTCAGTCATGGCTGTCATCTTGCCTCTTTTGACACCGCCACTCATGGATGCCCCAAGGTAGAATTAGGAAAACCAGATGGGAAGGCCTCTTCGAGTCATGGCTGGCTGCTGATCATTTTTGCTGCCAGTTTCTGAAATCAAACATGTGAGTGCCTGCTTTTATTGCTTTATTTTTGTTAAAGAAATTTGTCCTCCCTCAAGTGGGAGGGAGCCATTGTCTATGCCTGCATTCAACCTCTGCTCTAATCAGGCCACCGTCAAGAGGTCCGAAGGTCCTGGCACGTGAAGACTCTGGGCAGAGGTGACTGGCATTCACGATGGCTTTGAGAAAGATCACAGCACCGTTGGCGGGAATGATAAGGAAAAGGTGATAAGCAAGACTCAGGTGTCTTCCAGCCAAATGGCAAAGCAGCTCCCCTCCCACCCAGCTCCAGTTGGGCAATGTCTGCCTCGCCCGTAAATGACCATGACGTTCCCTAGAGACATACAGCATTATTATGGGAACTGCTATTGCACAAGTGATAGGAGGGAGCAAAACATGCTTCGACATTTTTTTGAGACTGTTTCAAGGGACTTTTCTTTGGTTTTGTTAAGCACATTGGGCTGTAGGGAGCCCCGTCAGATCCCTCAGCTCAGATGGGATAGGACAAGCGTGGGCAACCTGCCTGTAGTCCCCTGGACCCTTTTTGGTGGCCTCAGAGCCCCCTTCAACTGCACTGTTGAAATTTGATCTCCTGCCATTTTGTGAAGGAAGGAAAGAGGAGGTTGAGGTTAGGGTTAGGGTTGGGGTTAGGGTTAGGGTTGCACAGTGCTGCAAAGCAGCTTCCTGCAGACTGGTGCAACCCAGATGTGTTGAACATTTCTCATAATCTGCAGTCAACCAACAGAGGACCCCAGATTAAGGAAGGAGATTTTACAGGATTCCTATAGGGAGGGCACTTGGAAATGAGCCAGGTGTACTCTTTGCATCTTCCCTTTCCCACTCACCTGGGTCTTGATATCTTCAAGATGACCCTATAGAAATACAAACAATGCAAAGTCTTGCCCAGTGAAAAGGAAATTTGCATTTTTAGAGCACCACACCCAACAAAACATAGTTATCATTCAGATTTGCAGTTCTCCAAATTTTACAGCATAGTTCAATAACTATTCTAAAATGTAAATTAGGGAAAAGTCTGTTCGCAAATAAATATATTCCTGAGAATGACACGTGAAAAATGCATTATGTTAGGATAAATGGTTGTGAAACCTAGGTACCGTAGAGAAGATTGTGGGCAAAAATTGCCCAGCTTTGGAGAAACATCACCAAAATGCATATACATTTCAGAACAATTTTTTTAAAAAAATTCTCAGGTGTGATGAACAGAATTGGATACCTCTGCAGAAATGAAAAATGGAGAAGAATCTAAGCTGACATAGTCAGAAAATGAGGAACAGAGAGACTTGCCCAATGTGTTCTGCCATAGAAGTCCTTATGTCAGTGTTTTTCAACCTTAGCAACTTTAAGATGAGTGGACTTCAACTGCTGGGGAATTCTGGGAGCTGAAGTCCACACATCTTAAAGTTGTCAAGGTTGAAAACCACTGCCTTACATATAGAAACTCCTGGTCAAATGGCCAATAAATGAACTCAGAGGAGCAATTTCAAAGGAGGCAGAGTTGAAACAGACACTGGTTGTGGCTTTTATTTTAAAAGAAACAAAACATCAATAATGGATACATCCTATGGATGAGTCACAGGACCATTTTGAAACAAACTGGTATGTGACGAAATCATTGTGCGTTTTTTAGGATCTGAATCTTCAACATGCATCACAATCTTGAATCACCCTTTTGAGGTGGGGCAGAAAAGTTTCCATGAGATTTGTATGAGGTGGGGGGTCAGGGAGGGAAGAGGATCCAACAGAAAATGCAAATGAGGGTAGGGTTGCATTGGCACTTAGCATGTTAGAACTCTAATTGCAGAGTCCAGTTTTTTGGGGAGGTGATCACAAACCAAGCCCTAAACCCTTTATGCCAGTGTTTTTCAAGACTCTATCTTGACTCAAGAGAGGCATTTTTTTACCCCCATGCCTCAATTTTACCCTCTTAACCATCTTGCGAAGTGGATCAGGATGAGAGTTACTGACCGGATTAGGACCTCTTAAGGAGTTCCATGCCTGAGTGAGGATTTGTGTTTCAAGGTCCTTCAATCCAATTATCCCATCGCATTGTCTTTATTCCTCCTGCCAAAATGGTAAGCATTTGAATGTGGAGGTTAAATGAAACCTGCTGAGTTTTTCTGTGTTTCATCATCAGGAGGTTAAATGAAACCTGCTGTTTGTAATTCTGTGTTTCATCATCAAGTTGAAAACCCGAGGAACCAGCTTAGCTGCCTTTGGCTAGACTTGAAAACCCCATTTGTTGCTGTGAACAATACCCCAAATGATCCCCCTTTTCCCTGTGCCTTAGAAAAGCTGTTTTGGTAGCTCTTTCTCTTGGAGCTACAATGGTGAATGAAGGTTCAAAAGGACAGAATGCATCGCTGAATCTAGAAAACTAGTGCCTTGGAGAAAAGGGTTAGAACCTGGCTTTGACCTGTTAACTTTTTCTGGAACAGGAGAAGTTGAACACAGTCCAAGCTGAAGGATGGCTATTCTACTGTGAGGACAAACACATCACTGGAGTCAAAAGACCAGAGAAACAAGGGAGGGAGACAGATGACTATCCTCTCACAGAGAGCAAACCAGCATGTCTACATTGTGTTAAACCATGGTCTGTCTAACTCCATGGCTTGCTGAATATGTCATACCTGGCTAGGTTCATACCAGCATGTTAAACCAAGAACCACAATTCCCCAGCCATAATTTCTGAGTTCACTAGTTTCGTTAAGCTGAAGCAAAACAAGCCACATTATGGCTTACTGTGAAGGGTGAATTCATGATGACTATCACAGAAACCTAGTCAGGGAATTGGAAGGGGTCAGTTAAGCTCATGAAATCTAACCAGCTTAATGCAAGTGTTGCTGTTTTCTTTTTTTTTCAGGGGGTATGGGGAAGACAAGACAACACTATAAAATAGAGGGATGAGGGAGGGAACGGAGATAGCAAGGAAGTGGTCAGTCATGGGAAGGCAGATTGACAAGATGCTTAATCTGAAGAACACCAGATTGGTTGGAGAAAAGAGAAAAAAGATACTGTGAGCCCTTAGAGTTATTTTTGCCACTCGCATGGTGTTCTGTCTTCACCTTCTGCAAGCTTCTTGTCATCCTCCTTGATAGACTCCAAGTGGTAGTCTCCCTGGATTTCATTGTCCTCATGGTCTAGCACAGTGTTTCTCAACCTTAGCAACTTGAAGATGCATGGACTTCAATTCCCAGAAGTGAAGCCACAATAAATGACCGAGATGCCTCCAGAAGTTATCACAAAATCCAGGCAGGTGATTTGAATCTAAGAGAAAACCTGCAAGGGTCAAAGAGACCAAGCAGGAGTGAGTTGTTGGATCCTTTCTTCTTAAGAATGTCACTTTCCATGGACTCAAATATTGTAGAAGGAGTGGGTGGCTGTGAATCAGCCTTAAGCTTCAAAATGTTGAGCAAACACTGTGAGTCATAGCTGTTTTTCTTTTCATCTGCCTTTCAGATGGACATATTTTTGTTTCAAATTAGCTCAATATCTTCATTTTCCTTGAACAGATGGATGGATATGAAGAAAGACTAACTGATGTGATTCCTATTGACAATGATGTGCCTGCAGATAAAGGAACATCCACCTATGGCTGCCATGACTAGGCAATCAAAGCTCGCCTCTTATTTTACATGTGTTGCATATGCAATGCATGTAAGAAAGGGGAGGGGTTTTGATTGCATAGTTGTGGCTGCCATCTTGTCGAAAAAGGATACCCCTGTGTTCACCCATTCAGAAGAAAGGTGAACTGGAGAAAGAAGGCTAGGAAGTATCCTGGAATGGGATCTTCAGAAAGCTGTGGGAGATGGCAACCTCAGCAGTTTTTCCTATAATATGTGGGAGTTTGTGCCCACAACTCTATGGCAATCATTTTGTATGAGCACCCACAATATGTTCCATAAATGCCAAGTATACCCACTGGCCCCAAAGGTTTGTTTGTTTTCCCTGCTTTAGAGTATTTATAGCCTATTCTTCAGCCTCTCAGAGTAGTTTATGTAATAACCTAAAATGGATAATCCCTATCTGCATTTTACAATGAAAGGAGATGCAATGCAGAAGGAAAGTGGGGCCAAGAGAGAAAAACAAAATTCCTGAAAAGGTACGACAGCAGTAATCAAGGAACCCTAAGCATTTTTTCTCAGGTGCTGATTGATTGAGGAGGTTCACTCAATACACAGAACCATATTTTAATCAATTAATATTTATCTATTTTAATTAAAGTCTAATTTGTTTTTACTGTAAACTGCCCAGAGTCACTCTGTAGTGAGATGGGCGGTGACAAATTTGAAATATAAAGAAATAAAAATAAAGAAACATGGATTAACATCATCCAGTTGCTATATTATGCTGGGTGACGTGGGTTGGAGGGAGTTCATTTATTGAATTGATTTATACACCACCTTGAAAAACATTCCAGAAGAAAACAATGGCAATCCATTGCGTATTGTTGTCAAGGGAGCTGCATGGAATGTCCACATGGTCATCAAAAGCTTGAAGGAACCTTGACTTATTCTTCTCCTTTATCATTAAACAAGCTTTAAGGGCTGGCGTAGTCAACTGAAATGTCTTGCTTCACCTTAAGATCTGTGCTTGATTCTGATACTGAGCCATCATATCTCCTTTGGGAAACTTCACCACAATAGCTTACATTCCCTTTTTGAGAGTTGGGTGTCACAGCTTCTGTACCAATGAATAAGAGTGAGGAAAGCTTATCTCATGTAGGTGCTGGAGCTGTGTCATTGTAGTGTCCTAGCTTTTTAAACAAGTTTTGTAAAAGAATTACAGGGCTCAGATTTAGATACCCAGGCATTTTTAGAGGAATACTATACTAGAAACCAAACAACACTTAAAAAAAATCGAAATACTTAAAACTAATTGACTAATTGTGGGAAACAAACCATGAAATGTCCTCATTTTATGAATGGCTGAGAGATTCCCACAATCAGTGAGATAAATCCTGTACAGGTGTTTTAAGGAACGTTATATGGAAATCTGTTTTACCGTTCTCTAAAGTTCTCTTCCTCTGTAAAAGAAGCTTCTGTTTGTCTTTCTATTTTAAGGATGCTTGAGAATTGGACTCTCAAACCAAGTAGCTGCCAATGCATGTCTACAAAACCAGTATGATGTGCTCCCAACATCGCGAGACCAAAAGGATGTGGGTGGCTGCATTTTGGACCAATTTCACTTGTATTAAAGGAAAAGTTACACAAGATGGACCTTTGTTCTCCTGGGATACAGCAGCCCATATTTTCATCATGATCCATCTAAACATCTTCCTGAGTATTCCAAGATCAAAGAACCAAGACAAACTCCAGCCCTTGAAATTGCTACTAAGCAGAACCGCTTCAAGATCCAGAGAGGTCTGGATCACTTCCCAGATTAGAGGCCCTTTCACCATCATGCACACACCCACACACAAATGATGACGTGAAAATATAACAAGACTTCAACCCTTTCTCAAAAGATTGAGTTGTTATTTTGAGTCCCTGGTAAATTTGGCAACGTTTTCCTGGTGAGGATGTTTTGTTCCACAAATTAGTAGGGACAGCTTGATGTATCCTTCTTCAGCTTTCATTTTTGTCATTTGCTGGGTTTCTGGAAGTTAAATACTGGAGTGGCATGGGTCAGCTGCCATATCTCAAGTATAGTTGTGCATGATTTTTTTTATATATATTTTATTGAAATTTTAAAATTACAAAGTTAAAAGTTAGAAAT